GTGGGGGGCCTTTTGGTGAGTAAACAAGAGAAAACCGAGTAGCAGGTCCCGTTGGAGACACAAAGGAAGCCGGATGAGTGGAAAAACAGAAGGTGATAGAAGAGGAAGATGAATTAATGGAGTGGGACAGCAGGCAGAGGTTGGGTGTGTGCTGAGGTGGTTGACAAGTAGAAGTTGGGAAGGAAGAGGAGAGTATTAGGGGAGCCGATGATGTCATCCTGCTGCCCATGCATGTCACGCCGGCACTGCGATGCTCCGTGGAGAGCAATTACTGCTGTCCTGTCTGTGGAGCTCACTCTATTAGGAATGACAGCATCATCCAAAATTCAGCCGTCCGCCTCAGATACGAAGTCACTGCACGTTAAAGAACGGGAAGACATGGTGGAAACGGCTGCAGAGCTGTACCACTGCTTAAAGTGTAATGTTGGCACTGCCTTATAACTGTAATAAGTAACTTTGAGACAGATAATCTGTGAAAAAAATCAGTCTCTCTCACCACCTCCATGATGTTATTGCTGTTTGAAGAAATGCATCGCTCCTGGTCAAAATCAACCAATCAGAGCCAGGAGGTCGATGTCTGTCAATCAAACTTTATTCATTTTAAAATCACAAATTTAAATGGATTTTGTTTGAATTTTGTTATAAATACCAGCACAAAGTAATTATGAAATAAAAGAAAAAAGAGGCTTTTTCCTTTTTCTTTTTCTTTTTTTTACAAATCCAAATCTAAAAAGTGAGGCTTTCATATGTTTTTGGACCTCTTTACTCTGATACTCCTAAAAAAAAACATCGAGTCCAACTTGAGAAGTCGTACACTGAAATCAGCCTAAATCTACTTAAAAAAAAAATCAATCATCTGATCTAAAATGCTGCTTCTTGCCATCGCACTAAAACCAGGGAGATGGAGCTTAGAGAATAATCTTTACTTCTGTTAGTTTATAAATCACTTAATATATTTTTGCTCAACACCAAAAAACATTGTATCCGCCTTCCAGACCCCTCAGGTCTTCTGGTTCTAGTTACTCTGCATCTCCAGAACCAGAACCAAACATGGAGAAGCGTCTCACTATACCGATTGTTTCTCTTTTTTTTCTACTATATATTTTATATTTATTTAAATTTATTCATTTATTTAAATGCACTACTTTTGAGAGTTATTTTTTTATTTTGTTGTGCTTTCTTGCACCATAAATCTGGAACCAATTTCCAGAAAACTTCAGAACTGTTGAAACACTGAGCTCCTTTAAATCAAGGCTAGAAACGCACCTGTGTAGATTTGTCTATGAGTATTAACTTTATTTTGCCGCAGTGATGTAATGTTTATGTTTTTTCATCATGCCTTGTTTTTTATTCATCATATAAAGCACTTTGGACTACCTTGTTGTGAAGTATGCTATACAAATAAACTTGAATCCAATAAAGAAATGCATGCACTCAGTAGCTTCTCTCCCCAGGACAAGAAAGTACACACATAATAAAGGTCAACAGTTTTTCACATTTAGGCTTCTCTTGCAAATGACAGCCAGGCTTCAGTGACTCATCTCTTTATGTGCGATTCCTGCAGTGTAAAGATGTCAGACTGTGTGTTTTCCCATTGGGAGCTTCCCCATTACGACACATCTGAGAGACCGTGTACTGATCTGACACACACGCGTTCAGCAGCGCTGTCACAAGTGCATCCCCCAGAGGTTCCTGTGTTGCCATATTTCTCATGTTATCAAGCTGTGCGAATCTCACTTTTTCCATGTGTTGCCATGGTAACTTGGTAGATCCAGCTGGTCCCAGAGGCAAAAGGGACAGCCCTAAACGTGCATGTAAACACGCTCAAAGTGTGAAATATTGAACACCTCCCTGTTTCATCTGCATTTTAAGAAGAGTTGCTGTAAACTTAGTCTGAGTCAAAAGTCCTCGCATCTTTATGAGCATTTATTTCAATTGTGTCACAAGAAAATCTTATGAAATTTAGTGAGAAATTATCATGTATAATTAAGCTTGTCTTATTTAAATTAACGTCTCTGTCTTGGACTTATGATTTCCTAAATTTACTTTTATGATAGTATTCACAGATAAAACTCTATCATTAGAGTGTCATAAGTGGGGTTGTGTCTGTGTTTGCTGGCATACCATCTTCTGTGAGCCACATTGTGTGTCTGACATTGAGCTGTTTGTGTTCTCTAGCAAATCTCCTTCTGGTGCTTGTTGAGCTCGTGTTCAAATGGCCCGTCTGTCTGGTTTTTGCTATTTTCAAGCAATTTTTCAGGCCGCTGCTGTCCATGTGCCACCACCTGCTCTCCCTGGCATTATTGTGACATCTCCTGACACACAGAGCTGCCGTCGCTGACTCGGCTCCCAAACTCTAACCAATCCCAAACAAAATGTTACAGGGGCAGTGTTGTGTATTCTCCAGGAACATAGTGCCATTATATAGCACAGTCAAAGTAACCATGTCACCTTCAAAAATGCAGTAGATATCAAATATGACTTGAAAGAAATTTGACTTTGAAATTGGGCCTCTGTCTCTTTAAAAACTCCTGCATTTTCTGAAACTCCGCCTTCAGAAAGCCATCACAACATATTTCCTCTGTTAACCCTTTACCAACATTTTTATCAGCAATGCACTGAGAAGTAGCTTGTGTAATGAGTTCAGAAGATGTGCAGTTCCAATAGGTGTTTGCTAATTGCTCCTGGCTAGTCTGAAGGGGCTGAGTGGGAGAGTTATAAGGGAGGGCTGCTCTGAGGAGGAGCTTCATCCTCAAAGCCAGGTGTTTTACACAGCTGATCGGTTGCCACGGGAGATCAAAGAGTTTCTCACACATGCATCAAAGACTCAAATCAACACTCCAGTTATGTTTTTGATGAGGGAATAACATTATAAAATGATGTAAAGCTCAAAAAAGTTGATTTTACACAATACTGCCCAACATAGCTTCTTATGATTGTCATCGGATAAAATAAGTGATGATACTCCAGTGATCAGTCTTATACTTTATCATCTCGGGAGGCTTTATTCAACATTATACAATTAACCTTTTTTTTCAGGTTTAATAGTGATTGCTTACAAACGGCATTAGGTTTATACAGTGCTTACTGCCAACAATAAGTACCTTTTTACCCCATTTTCAGCTTCCTTAATTCATCATACCATAGATTCAGCAAGGTGATGCAGATTTTGGCTAATATTGTTATGATGGCCTCACACATTGATGCAGATTTATTGGCTGTACATCCATGATGCAACTGCAGTGGACTGATTGTCATGCTGGAGTAATCCGCTTGACATGACCCGAGCCAGCTTTGTGACAGGGTCCATTGTGCTGCTGAAAATAGCCTGAGGAAGATGCAGTGTGCTCATATATGGATGACCAGTCAGAAGCAATGCTTAGTTAGACTGTGGTGTTGAACAGGACCTCAAAGTGGGCCAATACCACCGCTGAACCACCGCTACAAGGTGAGCTGGATCCATGTTTTGCTTTTTGTGTAAGTAATTCAACAGACAGACCTAATCCAGTGGCCACTGAGTTTGAACACTGTATGAAATATACTGTGATGTAAATGGGTTTAACAAATTATGTCTGTCAGGTGTTCAGAAAGGGTAAGCACTTAGCTCAGCTTATCATTTTGTAAAGAGCCCATGTTTTTTGCAGTGCTGGGAGATATAATGTATCTAGATTGCAGTTGAATGTAATATATTTTATTACACTATTAGTCTATCGTTTGTTGATAAATGTATTATAGCTAAGTTGATGCACAACACATTATGCACTAACAGAAGCTTTTCCTTTCTGTGTCCATTTTGCCAGCGGTGTATGACTGTGTGTTCAGTTTGTCTCTTCTGATAGCAAGTTGGGGAACCAGTGGGATTTACTCATTGTTTCTGCGTCAGCTGGTGTTAGCAACACAAGCATCTAATGATGTATTTCTCTCTAATTATGTGTTCAAACACTTTTTTTGAAAATGGATGCTCTCTCTTGTGTGCTCTTCTGGCTCAAAAATGTTTTCACAACATTTTTAAAAGAATGACAGCAACATTGGATACAGGATTCAGGGCTGCTTGTTGACCTCCGACCTTTCTTGTCATAATTGCATCTTCAGGGGGGCAATGTTGTATTTCCAGCTGGTAACAGAAAATCTGTAAAAAATGTTAGATTTACTGAGTTATCTGCTAGATTTTCATCTCACTGTGTGACTGACACTTTAATGATTTCATTCAGGTTTCTGTAGTCTGTGTCCACATATGCAGCACACACACTCCAATCCTGCAAGTACATAGATTCCCGCCTGCCCTGTACTCTCCCCTGTATAAGAAATCTGCTAAATGTGTTCTGGTCATTAAGCATTAATGAATTTTGACCATGAATGTGATGTAAACTGACCTCCCGCCTGGCTGCTGTCAGACATCCTCATGTCTTCCTGCTTGTTTTTGTGTCTCGGTCAGTTTGTCTGTCCATCTGTGTTTCTGCCTCTTTACTCAGCACTTCTACGTGTCTGCACGCACATCTGTCTGTCTCGCTATTCGTCTCCGTGACAGCCAAACACCGCGAGCACCGTTTGTCTCCCTTGGTTTGGTGCGTGTCCCGGGGAAACGTTAGCAAGACTAATCTGAGGCTTAGCTCATGTGAAGCTGATTGCTTTTCGCCGTCTCGCGTTTTGACAGTGATATTGATGAGTGGTTATAGGAAAAATGCTGCATGAGATGTGACGGCGTATTTTGATGCTGGTGTTGCGGCGTCCTAATGAGCTCCATTTGTCAGAGCAGACTGACACAGTCACTCTGGATCCATACAAGCATGTCAAGCACTGAAAGAAAAAGTGGTAGAAATGCCAGCATGCTATTCATTATGTACACATGAAGTCAAGTAGTTTGTAGTATGCGTGGTATATTGATGAAATGTACCCAAGTGACTAGCAAAGTTCTTAATGGTGTCATTAGCATACTTTTTAAATTGTGTACAATGCAAGGAAAGCACATTTGACTGACTAAATGTTTTAATTTTTTTCAGCCAGCGCTGTTATATCTGTGGTTTTCCTCAAGGAGACGGTTCGAGCTTCTGATGTAGTTGGTAAGCAAACACTTGAACTCCATACCAGGGTTATGATAGTTTTGGGTTTTTCATTACAGTAATTTTGTTGTGACTATTTGTTTGTCTAATTCAGTTAGTTTTAATTAGTCTTTAGAGTGTGCTTGCCAGTTTTTATTAGTTATTATTTGTCAAATATTTAGCTTATTTTTTTATTAGTTACAGTAGGACTTTGTTTTTTCATACTCTGGTTAATTTTTAGGTACAGAATTCTAAAAGGTTGCAGTACTGTGATTATGTAAATATCATTTGGGTAATGATTACTCGGCATATTTTCAAACTACCAGGAGGAGGATGGCGGGCCTGTTTGTGTGGGGGGAGAAAAATCTGGTTCATGTCTGTTCAAAAGGCTAATACAGATTTATAAACATGAAAATGATGGATATTATATTCATTATGTTTTCTTTAGTTTTATAAATTCATAATACATTTCCAGTTAGTTATGTTTTTCCCTATTAATTATTGTTTTTATGTTGAATAACAAAAGTGTTTTCTCAATTTCAGTTTGTGTTGTTTTGTTAGTTTAGTTTAATTTAACCTTCACCCATACATTTGAGGCCATGAATTAATTTTTTTTTAATATTTGTGACACTTTTGGAAGAAAATATTACAAAAATCTATTCTGGTATATTTCCCATGCATATAGTTTTGCTTTAATACAAGCAAATACATAAAATGACCTGAATATGCAGACTAAATTTCTAGCACTCATGGTCTATGAAAATTATGTAAGCCTTTAAGAAATGTAACTTTATGTGCAGTAGCAAATTTAAGATGAAGAACTCCATCTTAAAAAATAGATAGTGAAAACATCCAAGATGTAAAATCAAATAATTGTTTTTAGCAAAGTTGCCTGTGGCTCATTGATTAATATTCTTACCATTTTTAACAATCCCTTTAAAAGAATAGAAGCTATTTAAATTTTCACTTCTTCACATTTATTCTATGGAATTTCTAATTACCGTTTCCCTGAGGATTAACTATGATGGTCCACACAAGTGCATTTGTTTTGGCCCTCGGCAAACAGGCTGGACAAATTTACTTATTTATCTTCCTACTTTGCAGAATTTTGAAGGGAAATAACAGAGTCTCCATTACAATCAGCATTATTGATACTCTAAAGTGGTCGCTTGGGAAAGAACATTTACTATCCAACCACTAAAAGCATCAGCATGTGAAGTTTACTAAACATTACTGGGACTTTAATCGGAGCTGTGCTTTGACTGGGACACGTGTAACATTGAACTTTTCTGCAACAAAAACTCTGAGCTGGTTTGACCTTAAAGGATGAACATGTGAAAAAGCAACCATGCGCACTGTGAAGTGTGGTGGAGGATCTGTGATGCTTTGGGCTTGTTTTTCTTCAAAATCCCCTAGAAACCTTTTTTTGAACTTTTTTTTAAAAGGAATTTTTAAAATAAAAATCAGGTGAACTCGGCTGTAAAACTGAAACTGGGCCACCGGCAGATCTTTCAGCATGATAATGACCAAAACATAAAGCCAAATGAACACAGAATTACTTCATTTTGTCCAAGTGATTCTCCATTCCAATACCTAAAACCTGTAGAAAACCTTTGGATTGAGCTGAAGAGAAAAAAGCAAAAGAGAGGACTGGGGGAAATGTTCAAAGAGGAATGTTTAAAGGTGTCTCTTTCTCTTTGTGTGTATGTTTGTCTCTATGTGCTCTAACATTTTGACGTTTTAAGAGAAAAGAAGTGCAGTCCCACTGCTAAAATGGGATTATACAAGTACTATAAGTATTAATACCAGGCATACCAATAACTGAGCGTTTTTGTTATATAAAAAAACTTAGCTTTTTTGCCTCAAGAAAATGAATTTACTCAAAGTAAAAGTAGATTTTTTTTTTAATTGATGTTTTTAGGCTTTTGACACATCTTTATTACAGGTGAAAAATGTACATACTTTTAGAATATTTGCAAAAAAGTCTAATTCTTTTGTATTTCAATTGTTGACTACATGTGCTTTGCTCAGATCTAATCACAATGTTTAGTGTTCTACAACAATATTTTGAGCATGCTGATACATGGCATGATTGTCATGGCTGTCACAATGACGGGCGCCACAGCTGCTGAACTGGAAATCCATATCAGCACCACACAGCTCTGTGTGTTGTTGCTTTCCCAAATAAAGCAGCATCAGTTTTTGTTTTTGGGGGGGTTTTAGTCCTGTAATTGCTGCATAGCATTCAGAAATGATTTGGATACATTTTCATAGTAAAAAAAAAAACAAAACATTATTTATAATGAGAGGTATTAACAGAGGCCGGCTTTGTTTTCAGTAATGTGCTATGTGCAAAGAGGTAAGCAAGCCAGAACAAATTCATTCAAAACACACAAACCAGGAATGTGCTTGGTGAGATTAGCTGCAATGTTTCCTCCGTAACTTTAACAAAAGAATATGAATGCTATAAAAGATGCTGTCTAATTTGATTTTGCAGCTGATGCACCAATCAGCCTTCTCAGGACGAAAACTGATTTCTGCAAATTTTATGGAAACAGTTTCAGATGAGTTCCCTCTCTGTTCCCACACAAAGAACTTGACTGGTCTCTCCTGTCTTTGTCTCCCACAGGTGGCAGCCTGGCCATAACTGGAACGTACCTCCTGGTGACCTTTGCCCCCCACGCATCCACACACATCACAGCTCATCTGGTCCAGTACTACGCCATCAGCTGGCACTTCCTTCTTTACCTCGTATGTAACTGATGGATGGCTGCAGCGGTGTTTCCATTATAATTGCATGTAAAAATGTGTCAATATTCCATCAGTGTTGCAAAAGCACAATTTTGTGTTTCCATTTAATAAAAAACACAATTATAGTCAGTCGTGTATAAGTTTGTCCACAGGACATGCTCTTAAAACACATGCCGCGCCATCAGCCTCCAACTACTTCCTGCTTGTGGTTTGCGCCAGTAGCAACAGCTTGTTGTTGATCATGACTTGTATGATGTGGAAAAAGGTGTTTCCATTGCAGTTTTGCAAAATATGCCAAATCTGATACAGCCAGAAAAACCGACTGATCCTAGCGCAAAAAGTTATGTATTTATTTATTTATTTTTAATTTGGGGTTTTTTGTTCTTTTTTTTATTGCTGTGTTCCTTTTAAACAAATTTATTTTTGTAATTCCAATTTGCACAATGAAAGCGAAGGTCTTGACAGTTTTCTAGATGACACATTGACAAAGTTCTACTAATAGCCTAAAACAATTAAACAGCCTTCATTTGCGCTGTCAAATTGCTGGGCTTGTATCTCTGCATGTAGCTGAGTAAACTTTCTGCATCCAGTTTTAAACTGTAAACCATGCTGCACCATCAGGCTTTAGAAACTTTACTGCACCTGAAGAATAACCAACTTCAGAGATGAGCCTAACTCAACCCTCATTTCTGTTCAGCACCTGCTGTTTTTCTCACTGTTCCTGGACGTGTGACATTTGAAGAATTAATTCTTTAGTCTTATTCTTAGGCCTGTCACAATAACAAACTTTGCTGAGCGATTGTCTCAAAATTATTGTGATAAACAATAATATTGTTTGAAGGCCATTTTATGTCATTACCATTACCTAGTGTAATGGTAATGGTACTGACATAATAATGCAATCACATCCTGACAGAAATAAATACACTTCATTTTCAAAAGAACACTTAACACTGGAACTAATAAACAAAATAAACAACCAAAAAACAAAACTAAAATGGACTCTCAGTCTCCGATATAAAAAAAATGCACTTGAATTAAAACTAAACAACATAAAACCAAAGTGGAAAGAAAAACAACATCCAACCAAAAGAGTACAGATTATAAAGTCTGTTTTCTATATTGCCCTTCAATAATCATTAGATTTAAATAGAGAAGATGGGCAAATCCGACTACCTGATGCAATAGTTCACTCCTCCTGACACTAAGGAAAGGAGGCGGGGAGGGTCAGTGGAGAGCAGCGGAGTTGAGCCTTTTCATCCAGTGTCGTCAATAGAAAGGGAAGAAACGATGAAGCCGATGAAAGAAAATTAGGTTGATAATTTTCATTCACTATGCGATTAATTGATTAATTAATTTATTGTTTATCGCGACAGGCCTACTTATCCTCTGAGAGCATTGCTACTCTTCCATGTTCTACCCTCGTCCTGTTTCACCTCAAGCAGCGAGGGCACAAACATAGCTGTTGCCATAGTGACATATCTGGAGGACACAGCTGATTTGGAAAAACTAAAACTACTCGACTCTGAAAATGATAATGCTGGCTTGGCATGTGAACTCTGGACTTTGTCTAAAAACACTCCAAAGATGCTGTTCAAGGTGAGAGTTCACATCCTGCTGCTGTCCAACTGCCTCTGGTGCTCTGCTGTCCGTTCTTAAAGTGGAACCACTATTTGGACAGTTTCCTTTTAGCTGTTGCAGAACCTGGAGACTTGCAGAATACAAATACAAATTTTAATGTTTATTTTTATGTGATAGACAAACCAAACTGAAGGAATCTGGTGTTGTACTTAACATTTTCAGGTTAAGAAGACATAAACTTGCCATGTAAAATCTCATCCATCCATCCACTATCTAACATCCTTATCCCATGTGGAGTCATAAGAGATGCTGTTTCCAGCGGTTGGAAAATCTCATCCCGCAAAAACAAAAAAAATTACAAAACGTCTCGGATGTACACATTTGTGCCATTCTGGATTTGTGGTCAAAGGGCCACAATAGGCCCCTGGGCCTCAGTTTGGACACCCCTGCTTTACAGCTAGAACATTTTTAAACCTTTATGATGATTTTATGATTGATTGATGCATTGAAGCTTCTGGATTTTAAAGTGGAAAAGACTAAGTACATTCAAGGCATATGGATATTTTTGCAGCTCGCTGTGTGTGTGTGCGTGCGCGCATGCGTGCGCGCGTTTGTTTGTAATACCTTGTGGGGACGATATTCCTGACATATACTACGTTGTGGGGACCAATTGCTCCTTGTGGGGACCGGAGCCTGGTCCCCACAAGGGGAAACACTGCTTTTGGGTCAGGGGTCAGAGTTAGGGCTAAGGTATGAATTGAGTTTTGGTTAGGGTTAGGTATGTGATGGTTAGGGTTAGGAAAAGGGTAAAGGTAAGGTTTAGGCTGTAGAAATGAATGGAAGTCTATGGAAAGTCCCCACAAAGATAGCAACACAAACATGTGTGTGTGTGTGTGTGTGTGTGTGTGTGTGTGTGTTTTGACAGATTGCTCCTGTCATCACTGGTGTGCAAAACGGAGCGCTCTTCCTCTTTACAGGCAGTGAATTAGTTGTTTCTCATCAGCTGGCAGAGTGGCCGCCTCCAACCAGTGTGGGATTAATTGTAGCTGGTGATTAATCAGAGGAAATGAAATATCATTGCTGACTTTTGATCATTAGCAGAGGTTATTCCTTCTTCTGTTGTAGAAACACAGTTTGGTTGGTGTGCCCTGTGTGTGTGTGTGTGTGTGCCATCGGTAATGACCCGGGTCTTTGGTAATCCATTTCCACATAGAATAATTACATTCTGGAATGAGCTCTTTATTTAACATACATACTGTGGCACCAGGATGGCATTGAGAGACATTTTAAAGGTCAGCTTGGCCTTTGTTCCCCTCCATGCAGCTGCTGTGCTCCTTTCTTACTGCACCTATTAAATCTGTGTTTAGTCGGGAACGACTGAATGCCGCCGGACTCACAAGGACAGCTCCAAACCCTTCTCATTAAACACAAGAAATTCATCTCTTTTTTTCTTTTTTTTTGCCACACTCACTTATTTCAATTAAACTGTCGTTCTCTGACTGTGTGTCACATTTTCTCCCCACGATAAGACGACGAAGGAAAGTTTAATTTCAACTTTCTGTTTCTGAGCAAATCAAATGAACATTATTATCTTGTGTGACCTCTCTTTCTTTCTCTCCACAGTTCATCGAGGTCATCCTGTTCTGCATTCTGCTCTATCTGTACAAGAGGAGGGGTGTGAAGCACATTGTCATCGTGATGCTGCTGGTGGCCCTGCTCGGTACGAATACATAGGAAGCGTCCAAACAAGGGCAGAGGTTATGGATTGAGCTATTTTAAGTAAGCAGAGAGGTTGCCTTGTTGCCAGGCTACCAAAAGCAGACCTCTGCTATCATTTCTAGTTAGAGATTAGTGGAAAACTATGTGGAAAAACATTCATTCACACTGGCAGAGATAAATCGCCTCCGCATGTCTTCTAACAAGAACAGGAGAATTTCTTGAACACAAGTCCAAGAAACTCTGCTTTTGACTTTTGTGCCGTTGCAGCCTCCCTTACGGTCATCTCGGTCAAAGCCGTGTCAGGGATGATCACAGAGTCGATAACGAGCCAGCTGCAGCTCATCTACCCTATATTCTACGTCATGCTCGTCGTCATGGTGGCCTCCTGCGCTTTCCAGATCAAGTTAGTCAAGGTTTACTTTCGCCAGGTTTGGTGTAAATGCTTGTTTGTGTCCTTGCTTAAATCAGCTGTGTTCACAACAGGCTAAAACGCTTTTGTGGATTTCCAGCTGCAAAACAGAGAAAATTATATCATTAGTTTATTACTACTTACAATGTTTGGTTTCTTCTCCTCAGATTTCTCAATCAGGCAATGAAAATGTTTGATGCCACAGAGGTGGTTCCCATCAACTTTGTGTTTTTCACTGCAAGCGCCATTGTTGCAGGTAGGCAAAAACACTCTTGATCTTTTATTGAAGGAAAAAAGTAAGGTGATCAAAGAGAATGTTGGAAAGGTGTGAAACCTCCCTGTTCACTGCATCTGTCAGCTGTATTTGGTGGCCTGGCCTCCTTGTTTTCAGGCTGCGTGAAGCCACTTTGGTCCATCTGCAACAAGAAAACTTCAATTCAGTTCAGCTCAAAAGTACTTCATTAATGCCAAAGGGAAAAAATAAACACATGGACAAAATTGTTGACAAAATCAAAAATGGTCACTGAAATAACTTAAAAGCTCTTCTGCTGAAATCACCACCAGCAACTTGCATTTTCACAATAATCCAACCTGCTGATATGTGGCATATAGATACAGGTATAACCAGAACAGAACATTAAAAACATTAGTTTGGATAATAATGGCATTAATCTTATTTCTCTTCTGCTTCTGACATTTCTGCTTGTGTCCTGAGACATTTAAGGGTCTAAAACACATTTCAAACTCGAGTCCCGGGCCCCAAATCTGGCACGCCCTCGCTTTTTGTGTGGCCCTCAGGGCTCCTCCAGACACCAAATTACATCAATAAATCCTTCCAGTTTTTTGCAATTGAGCAATTATGTAAATTCACATAAAATCAACAGATCCCCGCAATTTTTTGTGCTATTGCATAACTTTGACTTTATTGGAAATTTTCAGCAAAAATGATCCAAAACATTGGGTTTATGTGACTAACTCCCACCCATAAGTGTATTTCAGATATTGCAAAATAGTATAAATATTGCAAAATTTCTTGCCAATATTTTAAATTAGCACCAAAAAATCTATGATCCATGAAATAAAATCACAAAACCAATTGTGAAATTCTTTAGAGACTGTTCAATGTGAAAAGTCGTTCTGTATTATTTAATTTTAAGAAATACTTATCAAATGCAGAGATAGCTATTTATGAATATTTCTAGAAGTTTGTCAATTGTTTTTATCATCATATTCTGCTTCAGCCGGCCCCTCGAGAACATTCATGATCCTGGTGTGACCCAAAATGACTTTGACGCCCCCGGTCTGAAATGTTTCAACGATCCAAACGTAATCAATAAGAAACACCAGCCTGATGTCGTTCTCCAGTGTTTTCCTCCATCATGTGACAGGTCTGTCACAAGTTGGACCTGGAAGAGTCTCAGGATGTGCAGTTTGGAGTCACCCTCACCTTCCACAGCTTTTTGTCTAACCATCGCTTTGTCTGCCCACACACACACACACACACACACACACACGATTGACTCCACGGAACAACAAATTGCTTCTTTATTTTCTATCAGCAGAGAAAGAACATCCGTGGGCGGATTTTGCTCTTAAGATTAGTTTAGTTCCACAAGGAAGAAAATGAATGTTTTGTTTGTATTTTTTTAACCTTCTAATTGCCACAGCAGTTAATTTGAGCTGGTGAAATGCATGAAGAAATGTTTCTGCCTGCCTTTTGGCAACTTAAGCAGATTCAGGATAAAAATGTTTCTTTTTTTCTGGGTGATCAGCATAGTAATTATGAGTAATGACTGCTACCAATCTGTAGAAGCACATTGGTTAATAATAGAGTTCTTATCTTCCCATCATATGCTCATATTTGTTGTAGCTTTATATCTGAGCACTTGAGATAACTTTAGTTTTTTTTTTTTTTATGTTGCAGGGATAATATTTTACCAGGAATTTGAAGGCTTGGCTTTGTTGAATATTTTTATGTTCTTATTTGGGTAAGTGTTTTGCAAACCCCTAGTTGTGTTTTCTTGTGCTACAGTAGCAGCAGGTGCTGGCGTTAATCCTCCCTGAATCTGTCTTCTAGCTGTCTTCTGTCCTTCATCGGAGTTTTCCTGATAGCCAGAAACAGACCAAAGATAAAGCAACAAGATCGCACTTTTATTCCAATGGATAAGATTCCTGGTAAGTTTTGCTCTCTCAGATCAGTCTAAAAAAAACAATGTGATATCAAACAGGCCAGTGAGACAGAATGAGTTTAGCAGCAGGGTCTCACCTAATGAACTGTGTCGTCCATGTTCACAGGGAGAAGGAACACAGACAAAGTGCAGCCCGAGGCAAAGACCCAAACATACGGATCACTGGCAGCCAAACTCATGTGCAACAGAGCCGGCCAAACAGACGACTGATGGGAAGCCTCTCCATCTGTCAGGACTGCTGCTTTACCCAGTTTGGGAGTGAGCTCAGATTTTACAGGGCTCAACAAAAACAGCACAAATCTAGAAAAGAAATGTTGCTCTGTATAATCGTCACCACTATCTGGAATATCCTGATGAGGAAAGATGATTCGGAAATTAAATTAAACTCATGATTGCACTAAAATGTCAGACTGATCTTATTGGCTGCAAGAAGATTAAAAAAGAATATAAACAGATTTTTGCAGACCTGACGTCTCAGTAGTCTATGAATCAAAATAAGTGCACTACTGCCCTCTAATGGTAGGAAAAGAACGCCTGATTGCACTTATCCTTTAATTATCAAATGTAAATTCACTTAATTTAAAAAGAGAAAAAGTAAATTCTAGAGTAGTGTCTGTCTTTTTTTTTTCTTTACTTGTGTAATGTAAATACTTTGTTTAAAAGCACCAACCTCTTTTCTAACTTACCTTAGAAGCACCAGTGTGAAGCTTCACCGCCCATCTTCACCTCGGGTAAACCTCAGACTGCACGCCTGGCTGAGCCGCTGCCAAACTGTAGCGTTGCCAAGCAACAAAACTCTTATCTGCCACCTACACATTATGGGATATGTGGGAAACCACAGTTCCCGGCAGGGTTGCTATAAGAAGACAAAGTTTAAGTATCTGTAGTTGGATGCAGTTGCAGAGCCTTGCAGGAGTTCTGTCAGGTTACAGCCACACACTTTGTGTTTTATTGATGTTTTGTGATTGATCAACACTTAAAAAAAAAAAACTAAAAAAAAAACTCAGCTTTAGAGAATAATTGCTCTACTGAGCCACTTTTGAGCACAATCAGTCTTTTTGGGGCAGATCTCAACCAGGTTTGCACATCTGCAGACCAGACATTTCACCCAGTATTCTTTAGGCATCAGCTCAAACTAATAGGATAGATTCTGCAAGCATCAAGTCTTTGATATCTTAGATATTGTGCTGGACTTTAATTAGGCCATTCTCCACAATGAATTGCAGCTTTGTCTTTATGTTTGGGGTTGTTCTCCTCAAAGGTGAACCTCCTACACAGTATGTTAAAAGTAGTTTGCAGCGGTTGCCATTCTTGGAGTGCAATTAAAAAAAAACTTCAGTTTTAAGTTTCTTCTGACCATATTACCTTCTGCTACACATCTCATTACAAGACTTTTGATGGCTTCCTCCTTGGATTTTGGGATGTAATGTTGAAACATTGTCAAATTTATTCAGGGTTTCTGCAGATTGCACAAGCTCAAATTTAAGTCTTGTGTCACAACTGAAATATACACAACAAAATAAAATATTTTGCCTATTCTCTCTACAGATGTATCCCTGTTGTGCCAAGCTTTTTTCTTTTCCTCCTCAGAATACACGTAGCATCGAACAGGTTGTCAAGTGAGCCAGAGGCAAAGATGAACGTCGTCGAACCAACCAGTAATAATTTGCACTCGACCATAATGGATGCAGAACAGCTAGCTAAATGGTAACTAGGGTGTATTGGCTAATTGGCAGTAGCCAGAAATGCCTCGAGTCACAGAACATGCGTGACTCAAACTTTTGCCTGAAAGAAAAGTCCTGTGAGGAAAATAAAATTAAAAATGACATAGGATATAAGAGATTACAACAGTCCTGCCATGACAACATTTAAGAAATATAAGTAATGTACGCAAGGCCAACTTAAGTTTTTTTTTTTTTAAACAATTCTTTAAAACTTTATAATACACAAATACCTCATTTGATTTTTTTGTATTTGCATTTATTCTGACCAAAAGCTCTTAGCTGCAGTTGTATTTTCTTCAACATAAAACACTTTAATCAACAAAGGATGCAGAAGGGACCAGATTTCTTTCAAAGAACCCAAAAATTAGACCTGAGTAACTAAAACATGTTTCTTCCATTTTCAGTTTTCATCTCGTGATCTGCATAGTCAAGCATTTCTGATAATGATACTGTTGGTGTGTAATACACACAGCTTCGACTGGATGCCTCAGCCATGCTCTCTGTAAAGGCACATTATTTTCACCAGCTATTCAGTCACCTGTCGCTGCACTAAGCAAGTCTTTTTTTTTTTTAATTAAGGGGAAGGGATTCGGTTCTGTTCGGGTCCGGCCGTTGGAAGTCACACGTCGATGTTGAGCCTGACGAAGCGGTAGTGCAGGGAGGTGGGGTTGCGCAGCAGCAGCGTTCCTCTGAGCTCCGGCGGCTGCCTGAGGAGCGTGTGGAGCAGACCGGAGACGCTGACGAAGCCCAGAGCCTCCCCACGCCCCACAGACAGGGAGAAGTCCCCCTGGGTGACCCAGCCCAGCGTCACCCGGGAACAGTGAGACGCCACGCTCGGCAGAGGGTCCGGCCAGAGCCCCAGGATGAGGTCAGAGGGCGAATGAGGGTCTGTGGATGCAGTTGGGTCGTCTGATACTTGTGACGGAGTTGCTGTCTTGGAGCTCTTCTTCTTGTGGTTAATTCTGCTTTTATAGTGGTCTTTGTGGGGGGGCTCCTGAGGGCCACAGTTTTCTGGGCTCTTGCCAAACAGCTTCAGGTCCTCTGCAGTTGGTGCGCACACCATGGCGTGGGCTTCTGGTTTCCCTTTGGACAGGAGCGTCAGGCGCACCCACACCACACTCATCTTGTGAGCGGCGTGGAAAGACGTCACCGCCGAGTCGCTGAGAGGGAGCGCCACCGCTGCCCCGCGACCCCGCCTCTGTCCTCTGCATGTCAGGGGTCTGCACCAGCTGGAGAGAAGCCTCAGAGACTTTCTGTTCCTGGAAAACCCAAAATAACCAGTATTCATTTAGAGCAGGTGTGTAATATTCAGGGTACAATTCACTGGTGAGCTGAGAGAAAGATGCAATTTAATTTATGAAATTTATGACCCAGAAAACAAAAATGAAGCCGATGGGACTGAAAATCTGCTTGATTTATCCTCAGGCTTGATTTATCCTCAGGAATTCACCGACTTTACTCACAGCTTATGAGCTGCTTTCAGGGGGGAAAAATGCAACTTTTCCATCTGCTAATCTGTGATCTACTGCAGCAATAAGGCTGGGTGTACTTTGAGGATTCTGAGACATTCTGATGGAAAAAAGGCAGACTGGAGGAACAGCATGCATCAAGCCTGTCGAAAGCTTTAACATCTTATGAGATCTCTTCAAAGTAAAAGACTTTTCGGGCTCATATATATTTATGTATTTAGTAGTCCCTCCAGGATGTTGCGACGGTTATGTGAATGTTGTGGCCTAAACTTACTGATTTTATGCACCATTTTCAAAATGTTGCCAACATTTTAAGCTTAATTTCTGTCATAAGATGGTTACAGAAAAGTTGGAGTTACTAGAACTGAGGACCAGGAGGATAGGTCAAAATTCAGCCGGCTGCAGGGATTGGTCAGAAAAGATGGAAAACATTAATGATTGGTGAAAACCTCAAGTTCACACAAAATTTACAATTGATCAGTGAGTTTGCATTGATGGTTTTGATTGCAACTTCCTGGAAGGACTGATGTGGTACTCGCACCGCTTTAATTTTTCTACATTTTGTCATGTTAACAAAACTTAGAATTCTATTGATTTTCAGTCATAATGTTGCTGTGCACTTGTATTCAGCCTCCTTGAGTCAATACTTGTCAATAAGAATCACTGAAGTTTTTAAATGTTAAAAAGTTCAAAGGCTATGATTGCTTTTTCATGGTGCCATTAAGTCAGCCACTTTAACGCATTTAAATAAGAAGCACAATCTAAACTAACTTTACCTCAGAACAGTGAAGCTCGGAGGACTAGCTGCAGCTACAGTCTGCTGTGATGTCACTTCCTCCATCACTTCGTGGCTCTTCCTGGCCTTCTGGGTCTGCCCATCTCCTTTCCTCTCCGCTCCTCCGTCTGTCGCCAGGAGCTCCCACTCTTCTGCCAGCTGTTGCCAGGGGCAACGAAAAGGAGCCAGACAGCCATGTTTTATGTAATTGGTCCTCTTGGCTGGCGGACGTCTGAGGGAGAGGGTGAAAGGTCATGCCCTCGTCAAATAGTAAGAGGAAACCCCGCCAGGTTCTGATAGACAAAACTACTGTTGAGTTCATCTTCATCAGCATCTCCACAGATACCTGCTTAACGTCAAAGACTTTCAGTCTATACATTCTGATTATTATCTTACTTTCTGTTAATTATTTAAACTTTGTGTTGGATCTAAGTGATTGTGAAGCATGTAGAATTACATATTGGTCATTTGAGATAATGGAAATGCACCTGCAACTAGGGTTATTAATTTAGTAATTCAATTATTCTGACAATAACTGGATAAACAAAATGATCACATTCACATTCTTCAGATTTTTTAATTTAGTTACTCAAGTCTTTATATATTTATATATATCCTTCCTTACGGCTCGTGTACAAATCCAGCACCCTGAGTCTGTACACGAGTCGTAAGGAAGGAGGCAGAGGACTAGTGAGTGTGAGAGCCACTGTCCAGGATGAAACATCCAAGATCCATAAATACATCAAGGACAAAGCCTCAACGGACGATGTGCTCAGCGAATGTCTCAGGCAATGGGGAACAGAGGACAAGGTGCTGGAGGAACCATCATGGGAGGACAAGCCCCTACATGGGATGTACCACCGACAAATAACTGAAGTGGCTGATATCAGGAAATCCTACCAATGGCTGGAGAAAGCTGGACTCAAGGACAGCACAGAGGCCTCCTTGCACAACCTACACCTTGGGTCTTGTCTGGTGTGGTAGAGCTGAGCTTCTATTGCTCTGGTGTTTAGGGCCTGTTCCTGGGCGGCCAGGATGAGGGCCTCTGTGCTGTCCTTGAGTCCAGCCATTGGTAGGATTTCCTGATATCAGCCACTTCAGTTATTTGTCGGTGGTACATCCCATGTAGGGGCTTGTCCTCCCATGATGGTTCCTCCAGCACCTTGTCCTCTGTTCCCCATTGCCTGAGACATTCGCTGAGCACATCGTCCGTTGAGGCTTTGTCCTTGATGTATTTATGGATCTTGGATGTTTCATCCTGGACAGTGGCTCTCACACTCACTAGTCCTCTGCCTCCGTCCTTATGACTCGT